AAAATGAATCAAGAATTAGTGACACTTATTAAACTCCCATTATAAATCGTAAAAATAAAAATATTTACTTCAATGATAAAAAAAATTAATTACAGGAATATTTTTTAATATTGTTCTCAAAATAATTATCCTTTTGATTTTTTTACCAATAAATCAGCTGTAGATTTTTTAAGAATATATATGGTTTCATTAATCTTTTCTTATTTTATTATCGAAATTCCAACACTGTCATCACCACCTATGCCGATGACACGTGTATCCTATCAGTTAATAACGATCCTTTAATTGCATCCCAAACTCTTCAATCACATATCACAAGCCTTGAAGAATGGTGTAAAAATTGGAGAATAAAAATAAATTCCAACAAATCCCATCAAATCACTTTTATCCTCCGTCGTAAACCTATGACCTCTTGTCCTACAGTATCCTTCAATAATACTCCACTTATTCCTGTTGAGCAAATCCGCTACTTAGGACTCCACCTTGACAAACGACTCACTTGGAACCCCCATACCAGACTGAAACGACTAGAAACCGCCCGACGTTTTCGACTACTGCAGCACTTACTAGACAAACGATCTAAGCTTTCAATCAATTATAAACGACTCGTATATATGACAATAATAAGACCTATTTGGACTTACGGAATTGAGCTTTGGGGCTCCACTAAACCATCGAATTCCTCTCGTATCCAATCCTTACAATCCAAAATCCTTCGTAAAATCCTCAACGCTCCTTACTTTGTCACAAATAAAATCATCCATAAAGACCTTAATGTTCCATATGTTTCCGATCTGGCCCAATCCAGATACCTTTCCTTCCATAACAAACTGCAGAATCATCCGAATCCTCTCGTTTCAAACCTTGCTTCCTCCTCGATCCCTGATAACCCTCCGAGGCGTCTGAAAAGAAGATGGCCTCGTGATCTTCTCATATAGAACTTTAATTTGAGTTCTACCAATGGGTAGTTTCTCTTCATGTTGTACATGCCATGTTACAAATTTCTCATTTACTTATTGTATTCTCTATGTAATACAGTTGTAAATTCCATTAAAATAATAAAAAAAAAAAAATTATCGAAATTAGTATATATCGTACAAAAAATATCGACATATTTCTATAATTGTATACAATTGTACAATATAATTGTAAATGAAAGTGTTAGCCTTAAATTTAATGGTTTTTATTGATATCGAAACGATAGCAATAGATTTAATGGCGGAGTTTTGATCTTATTTAATTAATACATGCCATTTTTTCGGGTATTTAAAGTTGAATAACAAGGTTAGGTTCTGTCTGTACCATGCAATGTTAACAATTATCCACATATTAATTCCTACCTTCTACAAAATTATTGTTTCTTGTAATATTTTGAATATATAATATAAGTATTCATAGTATTAATAAGATAATAAAGCATTATTTTAAGAAGTGAAGATTTATCTCCGATTTTAAATGTATTACTACTTATTAGTTTGATAAGTAACAGTAATTATTATATAATTGATAAGTAATAAATATTATATATCTGTGATAAAATAACAGTAGGAAATATTTTACGGTTTATCAATAGGTAATTAGTAAATCAGCGCTATAATTCAACAAATACAAATTGATTTTTTAATTTTCGGATTTAAATATTTAACTTAAATAAAAAATTATTGGATGATTTAATTTATTTAATGTCATTTGGATCTAGGTATATTTGAATTTCTTTTGGTAGATCAAATAAACAAATTGTTAGTCCAACCTTTAAAAAATGATTTATTATGGTTTTGTTTAAATTTTAAACAATATTTCATTAAATTTTGTCTGACTTTGATGGAAAATAAAAAACAGGAAATAAAACTTATCAAGGTGACTGTTATCATCAAAACAATGATCCGATATGATAACATAACCGTTAAACTCCGAACCGCCAACAGCTTCATTGCTTCAGGAGCGGTCAGGTAGGAGCAACCTAAATATGACGTCATACATAGACTGCTGAGAATCGTCAACGAAATATATTCCTGTCTATTCCACTAAAGCAGTGATCAACCGCCAGCAGTCGCTGCCATGGGCAGTACCACCGAAATAACGTTCAACGTTCTTTCGTTCAACGTCATTACAGTTTTTCTTTATTCTTTCTCGTCCGAAAAAATATCATTTTCAATGGTCACATTTAAGTATCAGAATTATTATAAATAAATTATATCGGACAAATAACAATATATATATATATATATATATATATATATATATATATATATATATATATATATATATATATATATATATATATAACATCTTTAGTTATAAATTATTGAAGTTTTTTTTTGAAAATGTATATTGCCAACGTTTGACATAAGGGAGTGTTACCAGCAACGAAAGTGTTTCACACTGGCGGATTTACGGTGCGACATTCGAACTGAAGCTCCCCTCCCCCCAAGAATGGAAAAAAATAACCATGTCTTATCAAAAATATTCAAAGTATTATTGTTTTTGCAATTACAATTAAATATAATATTTTTTTGCAAACACGTATACTCATGTTTCATTAGCTTCTGACGCTAACTTGAATTAAAAATAAATCTACAAACTTAAATAAATGAGCAGTAATTACTGGGCGGGGGGCGAAGATAATGCAAATTGTAAAAGGTATTATTAAAGTTAATTAATGATGGTTACAGGAAACTATTGATAGAACAATACTCTTATTTTTTCCAAGTTTGGGTGAATATATACTCGTTAGAAGCAACGATGGTGAGCTTGACTAATTCAAACAGATTCTTGTGAGACGTATCTTCTTGTTGTGCATCATTAAACTCTAAATATAGCTATTTCCTTCTATGCTCCTGTAAGGGGGTTATTATGTCCCGTAAAATGGTTGTTACGTCTGTAATGTTTTTTTTTTTTACTTTATGATGAAATTCAACACATGGAATCCTCCCACACGGATGAAAAACTCATCAAAAGTTCACACGTTATGTGTGCATGAGGCTTTTACACACAGAACACGATATATCTCGATGATAAGATATCCATTTGTCTGTATCGCTGCGGATTATCGCGCTCTATAAGACTACTATAATGTTATAGATTGTGATACAATATCGCCAAATCGTCCCCGACAGGAATATCGTATCGCCGATACATTCTAAGAAAAAAGTGGTAGCCTTTAATCAGCGCGACAACATACATGGTTCTGAAAAGATTCCTTGTGGCCATATATTAAGACAAAATCGATTCGAACTAACCTTCCAGAACATGTAAATAAAACGATTGCACATAACTTTTAAAGGATCGTAGTGTATATGAAATAAGATTCACGCAGTAACTGATGAATATGGGTGCCCATCCTCCCGAAGGTCGATGGCACATGAATCTCCCCTCCCCTCCCCCCACCAAGATATTTTATTGCTTTCCTCTCTTCCTTTTATGCATTTGGCTCTCCATTAACATGTGTGACCGAAATGATCGTGAACTATTCATAACCCATGCTGTTCTTATCTAAATAATTACGCTGTACTGTACTCTGTTCAGTACTTGATACTTTGGCTTGAAACGTTGGTAATATTTTTTTTTTTTTATACTTTCTATCACCCATCCTTAGTTATGACTGAACTGCTGCATGAAACCTTGGGTAACGTTATAACATGAAGTTGGGCAATCGGGTGTTTCCGCAAGAAAAAAAGTAGAAGACCATATAGTGCGGCCAAAAAAATAATGTGTTGTGTCAACCATAAAATTAAATATTTATTCATAAATATATATATACTCACGCTCCATTAGCTTCAGACGCTAACATAAATAACAAATCTACAAACTTAAATAAATGGGCAGTAATTACTGACGGGGACAAAGATAATGCAAATTGTGAAAGGGGATATTTAAGTTACTTAATTATGGTTACAGAAAAACTATTTATAGAACAGTCTTATTTTTTTCCTCGTTTGGTTGAATATATACTCATTAGCAGAAACGACAGTGACCTTGACTAATCAGATTCTTGTGAGAAATATCTTCTATTTGTGCATCATTAAACTCTAAATATAGCTATTTCCTCCTATATTCCCGTAAGGAAAAATGGTTGTTATGTCTGTCATGTTTTTTCTTTTTTACTTTATGTTGAAATTCAACACATGGAGTCCTCCCGCAAGGATTAATAAAAACGCATCAAAAGTTCACACTTCGCTCAATAATTGTTGCATGAATTTAATAAGGTGATTTGGACAATTTATGGTACTAGGTGATCATAATATTTCACTACAGAATAGTCAACCGATAAATCAGATTCCTGTGTAAAATTGTTAATATTATTGTTAACTCTCTCTCTCTCTCTCTCTCTCTCTCTCTCTCTCTCTCTCTCTCTCTATATATATATATATATATATATATATATATATATATATATATATATATATATATATATATATATATATATTTCATTTGCCAAGTCCAAAGGGAGACACTTTTTATTTGAGTTATATAAGTAAGATTTTTGATAACAGCATTTACTCTCTCAGCAATTTTTTTTTATCTTTATGACGTTTCGGGATCCAATTTCTTATCCCATCTTCAGACAGTATCTCATCCTAATATCATCTTTTTTCATTTTTTTATTTATAAGATTTGTCATATTTTTTTTTATTTTCGTAATTCATCCCTTAAATTATATTGTGGACTCATCTAGGGAGAGCCTAGTCAGATACTAGAATTATTATTATTTACCATAATTTTAATGTTTTTATACATGAATATAAATGAATTTATTACAATTTTCGTTAATACTAAATTAATCTCATTTTAGCTATATTTTAAGAGTATTTTGTTTTTCCTCAATTCTAATAAATCCGATTAACTCTTCATACATTTTCTTAAGTTGTTATATTTTCATAAAATATCTACTTTGACAGCCTAAAATATTTACCTGACTTCTCTATTTAAATTTACCTATTTATTTAAATAATTTATATTGTTACATAATTATTTATTTAATGTTATAATCAACAAATTACCTTTGGAATGTCCCCTAGATTCTTCGGAAGTGTGACGTCCACGATGCTTCTCCTCATGGTCGTCTTTAAAATAAAAAATAAATAAATAAAACTATTCTAATTCGTTTTTTAAACTAAAAAAGAAAAATTACAACATAGTTTTTTATATAAATTAATTTGTTATTGATTCAATCTCAATATCTATTATGTCACTCGTGTCCTAACAGCTTCATAGAATAAACAATTGAAATATTGGTAAGACTGATCATTCCTGAGACAACCAGAATTCTTAAAAATGATAGAGTTAAATAAATATGAGGAATCAGTTATCGAATTTTATAGAAAGTTAAAATATAAAATATGAATACAGGAGATTGATTGCTTCTAGGAGAAATAAAACTCATAAGAAAACTATTCATACAGGCTATAAACAGATAAATTAGCCAAACACATTCATGTCGTGAGTGGAGAATCCGGCCATTGCTAGAACTCTTTTATATGCTATAAAAGATCTCTGAGCCACTGCCGCTTCAACCTTCGAGGAGCCTTGTAGGGATGAGTTGAAGTATATAGGGATTGCGCAAGGGGTTTCGATGATTGATAAGGTTCTGATGGAATTTAGACATTTTTTTCAGGGATAAGGTCTAGGACAAATGGGATAAGGTCATGGAGGGTTTTTTTGTTACAGAGAACGGTGCATCGGCTGTTGTTCGGAGGACATTGGACTGAAAGGATGAGAAGGAGATGTTTCAGCATACATTATGGTTCTCGCTCTCGTTAATAATCGAGACATAACGACGCCCATGAAAGGAACTACATTTGAAGCTGTCAGAAGGCATTGCGGTGATTCAGCAGCCTTATCTTAGTGATTTCACTTTAAATTGAGGTCCATGTTTAGTTCAAACAGACCTAATCCAGATCGCCTCTATCTAATGTATCATGAAGGCGTTTGCACAAAGACTAGATATATCTAGCAGTATATATATTATGATACCGCTCTCTACAGCGCTTAGTATAGTTGTGTTACTTTCTATTTCACAGTAGTCACACACAGCGTGACACTTCGCATCGATACAGGCAGAAGCAGCTTGCCGCAACGGATAGCGTTCATGATGCGTCAAATGCGCTGTGCATAATACTTCTACACACAGAAAGCGATATATCTCAGCGATAACATATCACAATAACAACTGAGGTATACATGCAGTATGCTGCAGACAACAGGTGTGCTGTGTTTACTTGATTTAATTTAAATTAAATTTAAATATAAAGTTCGATGTGTTCCCTAAACAGATAGTGATACAACTAAATCGCCATATCGCAGCAGACAGGAATATCGTATTGCCGAGAGATTTTAAGAAAGAAGTGGAAGCCTTTAATCAGCTCGACTATATATATGATTCTGAAAAGATTTATTGTGGCCATATATTAAGATAAGATCAATTCGATCTATTCTTCCAGGGCATGTGAATAAAACGATTGCACATAACTTTTAAATTATCGTAGTGCAGATGAAAAGAAGATCCACCCAATAACTGACTAACAGCGGTGCTCATCCCCCATAAGGTCTATGGCTCATGAACCATCTTCCGCCCATCCCAAGCTATTTTATTGCTTCCCTCTCCTTAAAAACAGTGCAAACAAAATTAGATTTTAAAAATTTATCTGTAGATTTGTCTTTCGATTTAAACTTTTCATTTCGAAAATTTATTTCTCCATCATAAATTCTCCCCCTCAAAAATTCAAAACCGCATCAAAGTGTGCCCCCCCTCAAAAATGCATTCTGGGCATCTCTGTTGACGAACATTATTTAAGAGAAAGGTCTTATCTCAGCTTTTATATTACTTCAATAGTTACAGTCCGCTAGACTGCGACATTTCCCCATATGTCCTAAAGACTCCTACACACAGAGCCATATGTCTTGGAGATACTATATTCCAGTCTGTGGCTATATAGCGATATAGTTGTATGAAACGATATGACATGTAAATAAAACGATTGCACATAACTTTGAAAAGAAGATCCTCCCAATAATTGACTAATAGCGGTGCTCATCCCCCCCTCAAGGTCTATGGCTCATGAACCTTCTCCCAACCATCCCAAGATATGTTATTGAATTCCTCTCCTTAAAAACAGTGCAAACAAAAGTAGATTTTAAAAAAGAAATAAACGATTCCATCGCAGTATAGCAGTTACACACAGTGCGATAATCGGCAGGGATACCAAGAAAGGGTATCGTATCACCGGGACTTATCACGTTTTCTGTGTAGGAGCCTTTAGGGAGAGGTTTTCTCATTTGTACCTACGTCTATTTTTACACCCTTATGAAATCAAAACTCAAAAAAGAAACAAGGATATTACTATAAACCTTTAATTCTCTCAAATACCAGTTATTACTTAACTATTCAACATTTTACTGAATTTCAGCATCATCAATCAGGACTAAAAAAAAATCACATAAACATCGATATGCTCAATAAAATAGACCACATAGAGGAAGCACATCACACCAAGACAACACTTACAATACATATTCTGAATTGTTTTGGATATATTTGAGAGACTTAAGGTTTTTTTTTTTTTTTTTTTTTGTGGTATCTTAAAATAATATTAGTATATTTTATTTTATATTATAACTAATACATAAACGATTCATATTAATTTCTAAATGTACCGTATGTAGTATACTCAAAGTAGCTGGTCTTAAACTAAGTATAAAGTACTCACGGGCTGATATGGATATAACGCAAATACCAATCAATAAAATCGTCAGTACTTTCATGATCTTTGTGTCAAAACTACTTACTGCAAAATCATTTTCACTGTGCGAATATATACTCGCGATAAGGAAAAGCGGTTGTCGTTAATCAAAAAACATTTTTCAAGAAGCACGTACATGTTTAAAGTGCTATCTAAGAATGTCAAATAATACGTTAAATTTTCTTATTTTGTCCCGTTCTGTCATGAGGATGAAAAATATTAGTTTTACTAGATTATTTTTTATCGCTTAGGAATAAAACTAAAATATGATTGGTTGAACTATTTCTTTAAATGAGCTTTATAGAATTTGAAGCTTACATAAGATGTATTTTTTTTCTAAGTATTGTAACAATTTTAACTAGTTAATTACACAATATTCTCTTCTTGTTTCTTAAAGGGAAAAAATCTGAGAACTTGAAGATAAAATAGTAAGTCAGATGAGTGTAGTTCAAATGGTAAAGGTGGTTTAAGTCGCAAATTGTACTGATAATGCGCTCCTTAATTACACCAATTGGGCAGAGAGAATTTATATATATTATTGTATTTATATATGAACTATGGGAAGTTACGAAAAGACTCTTGCGCAAGAGCAAGACTGATTTTGCAAGAACAAGACTCGTCTCGGTTCTCTCATTTGGTCAACACTAAACATAACAAATGAAATTCTTTTATCAATATTAAAAAAAAAATTGTTTAATTATTATTAACTTTTGATTATTATTTTGCTTCTATAAATTGGAGTTCTGGCAATGGCCAGATTCTTCACTCAAGACATGTGTGTATGTGGCTAAAGTGCTCTCGACCAATCTCCGCTGGCTTTAGTACCAGTGACGCGGTTGGGAGAGTAGCGCAGGGTTCTCCTGGAGTTCCCTCGCCTGATTGTATATAGGTATGCATGTGTTTTTTTTTTTTTTTTCTTAGTTTTAATTTTCTTATTTTTTAGGTTATTTTATTTTATTGTCTATTGTATATACTTTTGATTATTATTTTGTTCTATTTATTTTATTTTTTTTGTAAATATGGTGTGAATGTCATCCTACCTCACTATAACCAATGTCCAACAGACAGATTGTTATAATACTCAATAAAGAAATTAAAAAAAAAAAAAAAAAAAATTTGCTTCTATTTATTTTAATTTTTTTTTGTACATATAGTGTGAATATCATCCTACATCACTATAACCAATGTCCAAGAGACAGACTGTTGTTAAACTTAATAAATAATAAAAAATAAAAAAATTATATCAACATATATTTTTGGAACGTTTTGGTCACTCGGTCATTTTCAAACATTTTTTTGCAAGTTATTTATCACCTATCAATACCATCTCGACAAAACATTGTCTCTTTGTCAGTCATGGTTTCTGTTGGTTGTTATTTCTTATTGCTTTCTAAAAACAGGAGAAAAAACACTGACATTACTATAAATATTTTATATAATCTCCATTCTGATGATACTGTCAATTTTATTGATGTGAAATTATCTCTATAAAGCAATTATCTTTGTCTTGTTTTAGTATTTTTAATTTGAGCCTCCGAAACTGGTATTTAAAGTAACAAAGACGTAAGTTTATTATGTTTCTTTAAAAATTGTATCCGGGGATAACCGCGAGAAAGAAATTTCTTTTGCCGGGCCCCGACTGAACATCATGGTTCAGTGGAAGCAATTATTTCTGTTCATTTGTCCGCTAGCTCTGATTCCCAAGTGAGTCCTATTCTTCCTGCCTAAATTGGCTGCCTTTCTTTTTTTTTTTTTAATTTTTTTTTTTTTCATTTTAAGATAATCTCTCATTACAGCAGTGTTAGAAGATCCAAATGTCTCAAACCTCAATTAGAAATTAAAGTTTTGGCATTGATTAGACTAATTTGATATAGGTTATGTGTTTAGAAAATTGACCGAACAGTATGAACAATGGGGTCTGAATATTAATTATTATAAAACAAAATATATATCGACAGAGAACGATGAGCAGAGTGACCCTGTTTTGACAGGGCTTTGTAGGGTACACCAATTTTGCTACCTGGGTTCAACACTTGAAAGAAATGGAAGAGCAAGGAAGGATATTGAAAAAAAAAATTAACAAACGGGCGGAAAGCCATTAGTATGCTCAATTAAGTTCTCTGGAGAGAAAATATTTATACCAACGTAAAAAAAATTAATATATAAGGTTGCGATATAAAGCTTATTGCTCTATAGTTCAGAAACGTGGCCGTTCGACGAGCATAATATTTCTATCTATGGAGATAGATTTTCAGAGGAGGTCGGCTAGAGTCTCAAGGACGCAAAGAATCAGAAACGAGACCATTAGAGAAATAATTGAAGTTAAGAATAATATACTATAAATAATGGAAGAAAGATCACAGTGGTATGGGAATAACAAAAGGATGAACAGCGAACGACTTCTCAAAACGCATTTGAGTGGGAGGCCGAGGATTGGAGGAAGGAGAGGAAGGCCACGTGTCAGGCGGAGAGATGTTGGGGCTGAGAGTATGGCCGGCTGAGGGCTGGCCGAGGAGGAAGCGGTAAAGAGGAAGAAGTGGAAGAACCGACTGAGGAAGGCGTTTAGCTAAGAAAAACTTAAATTTATGAAGAAAACGCCCTTAAATAAAAAATATAATTGATTAGACGCTATACATGTTAATAAACATAGCAAATTATACAACTATTCAAGTTTCATTAGCAGGATTTATAACGTTTCGTGGTAGTGTTGCCCAAGCATGTTTGGCAAAACCTCCCAATTGCACCTTGACCGTAAATTAAAGTTCATTCCTGTTATACTTTTTCCCTACTCTCCTCCTCAATTTGGCTATTAATAAATTGTCAAGTGTGTGTGAAGTCAGTAAATTTTGAACTTCTTACTCAGGATAGATTGATTACATCGAAAACAAGACACAATATGAAATAAGAAAGAGAATAATGGCTAGAAACCTCTCCTACTTTTGTTTAAAAACGTTAACGGGGTCAAAATATTTGTCAAAACGCACTAAGCAGGAAGGATGAAGTTATATGAACCTTGATTACGCTGCTCTATCCCCTATGGATCTAAAATATTTGAAAGCCGGGAATTAGCTGGTTTTTGAATTTTCGGATCGAAAAGTTTAAAATCAGGAGACAAAGAGAAAATCAGTAAGAGAAAGAAAATATAATGGTATATGACTTATGATTTTTAAAATTTTACTTTAGCTTGCACTGTTTTTAAGATGAGAAGAGAAATACAATATCTTAAGAGGAGGGGAAGGGGTCATGAGCCATCAACCTTGGGTGGTATGGTACTCCTGATTTTAAGTACATATATGGAGATCGACAAATATCAACTAATGATGACATAAATGATATGTTTGAAAATCAAGATTGAGACCCGAAGATTCACCTGAATAGGATATGTTCAGCGGAATCCAAATAAGAAATATTCTCGGAAAAAATAATCGGAAAAAGAGACTTCAAGGTAAACGCTTTTTACGACACTGAAATAATGGGAGGTAAGTATTGGTGAAGGATTTCAAAGGAGTCTAACATCCATCTTGGACTATAGAGCTACATATATTAAATTCGTATTGTAAAAAAAATAAAATTGTATATTACCCTAAACAGAGTAATATATCACAGGAAAGTTAATTTAAAATATTGTAAAATGGCATCAATCTCAGAATTCTAGCCAAATTAGGAAAGATTCTACAGCAATTTTTATTCTTGTTTCTTTCTATTTTCGAATCTTATTCTTAGTTCTTTACAGATGTCTAATTCTAAAACGAGTTGACTTATCTCAATGAAATTTCGTAGATTTATAAATCACTACAAATAGTAAAACTTTGCCTAATTACCGAATAATAACAATGTGGCCCGAATATATGGCGACATCCACCAGTCGGTACAGATAATACTGCCTTGCCCTCGTTAAAGTAGTCTGACAAACCGACTTTTAAAAATTACTTCCTCTATAATTTCCTGAATGTTTTTTTTTTTTAAATAATTAAATGTCTTTCCTTGTTCGTTTGCAACAAAGAGAATTAATAAATATATAAATTATTAAATAACTTGACAAATAGCTAAAACCATCAACACCTGTCGTCATTCCTGAACCGAACGAAATCGAAAAAAAAACATATAGTAACAATAGTTGGGACCGTTGGGCTGCCGTGAGACAAAAGGTTGTTGTTTATCAAGTGATATCGATCTCCATTTGTTTTTCCAGAGCCGTTTGAAGGGCAGGTACCCTCTTCCTAAAGTTTTGCAGGGCAAAAGGGAAACCCTATATTTAGGGACTGATTTAAACCTTGGGACCACGTCCCTTAGGATCAGAGTCAATAGCGTTAGGTCTCCTATCTCATCCGATATCAGGAGGCCCATTTTTTCTTAGTTTTTATTGTACATTATAAAAACCTTAATAACCGCCGTGTAAAGAAAAATGTTAATTACAAAAAAAAGTGTTATAACAGACTATGCGTAAATTAATTATAATATAATTTTTCCTGTTATTAGAAAAATTAGGTAACTAGTTCACTTTCGCTACTACAAGATGACGGCTGAATTCAAGACCACCAATCCTAGATTCCCGAAAATATCCGAAATAAGACGGAAATACCGATCTTAAACACTTGATTACAAATTGCTAGATATTTCAAGAGGGAAAAGACTATTTGCTCATTAATAATAGTCGATAGAATAATTAAAATGTTGTAATAAACAAAACTATATGATATGATAACCACTCTCTCCAGTGGAATCTGACTCTTCACCTGACTCAAAATATGCCATACCAATCTGACTCATTCCTATCTCATCAGCAAACAGCCAATAAACTGTAAAAAGCCACCGAAATGCATCAAAACTGTAATAATATACTTGCAGTCGGCGACATTTTACAAGAAGTTTCTTTTTTGCATCGCAAATCTAAATAGTTCAGGACTTACACTCTCAATACAAAACATTCTAAAAAATGACGGAGACACAATAAAGTTAGTGTTACATTTCTTGAATTCAAACTTTGTTAAATAAAATTTAAAAGCTCTTTTTTTTTAAATCTTATTTATTGAAAAATATTACAATCT